AACATAGGCAGAACACTCCATGACATAAATCACAGCAAGATCCTTTTTGACCCACCTCCTAGAGAAATGAAAACAAAAATAAACAAATGGGACCTAATGAAACTCCAATGCTTTTGCACAGCAAAGGAAACCATAAACGAGACAAAAAGACAACCTTCAGAATGGGAGAAAATATTTGCAAATGAAGCAACTGACAAAGGATTAAACTCCAAAATTTATAAGCAGCTCATGCAGCTCAATATTAAAAAAAAAACAACCTAATCCAAAATTGGGCAGACGACCTAAGTGACATTTCTCCAAAGAAGATATACAGATTGCCAACAAACACATGAAAGAATGCTCAACATCATTAATCATTAGACAAATGCAAATCAAAACTACAATGAGATATCATCTCACACCAGTCAGAATGGCCATCATCAAAAAATCTAGAAACAATAAATGCTGGAGAGGGTGTGGAGAAAAGGGAACCCTCTTGCACTGTTGGTGGGAATGTAAATTGATACAGCCACTATGGAGAACAGTATGGAGGTTCCTTAAAAAACTAAAAATAGAACTACCATACGACCCAGCAATCCCACTACTGGGCACATACCCTGAGAATACCATGATTCATAAAGAGTCATGTACCAAAATATTCATTGCAGCTCTATTTACAATAGCCAGGATATGGAAGCAACCTAAGTGTATATCAACAGATGAATGGATAAAGAAGATGTGGCACATATATACAATGGAATATTACTCAGCCATAAAAAGAAACGAAATTGAGTTATTTGTAGTGAGGTGGATGGACCCAGAGTCTGTCGTACAGAGTGAAGTCAGAAAGAGAAAAGCAAATACCATATGCTAACACATATATATGGAATCTACGGAAAAAAAAAAAAAAGCTCATGAAGAACCTAGGGGCAAGGCGGGAATAAAGACACAGACCTACTAGAGAATGGACTTGAGGATATGGGGAGGGGGAAGGGTAAGCTGTGGCAAAGTGAGAGAGTGGCATGGACATACATACACTACCAAACGTAAAATAGATAGCTAGTGGGAAGCAGCCACATAGCACAGGGAGATCAGCTCGGTACTTTGTGACCACCTAGAGGGGTGTGATAGGGAGGGTGGGAGGGAGGGAGGGAGAAGCAAGAGGGAAGAGATATGGGGACATATGTATAGGTATAACTGGTTCACTTTGTTATAAAGCAGAAACTGACACACCATTGTAAAGTAATTATACTCCAATAAAGATGTTAAAAAAAAAAAAACTGTACTGGCAGTCCTAACCAAAGTAATTAAGTAAGAGGAAGAAATAAAAGCTATCCAAATTGGAACGAAAGAAGCAAAATATCTCTGTTTGCAGATAACATGATTCTATATAAGTCTCATAGAATCCACAAAATACTACTAGAGCTAATAAACAAATTCAGCAAAGTTTCAAGTTACAAGATCAACATACAAATGTCAGTTCTGTTTCTATATACCAGCAATGAACAACCTGAAAAGAAATTAAGGAAACAATTTCATTTACAACAGCATCCATGAGAATAAAATACTGAGAAATAAATTTTAACATGGAAGTGAAAAACTACAAAACATTGCTGAAAGACATAAATAGCTGTAAAGAATCTCAAGTTCATAAATGGCAAGACTTAATGTTGTTTGAATGTCAATATTCCCCAAAGTGATCTACAGATTCAGTGCAATCACTTTCAAAATTCAAATGACCTTTATGGCAGAAATCAAAACTGAGCATCAAATTCATATGGAACTGAAAGGGGCCCTAAATGGCTAAACGATATTGAAAAAGAAAACAAAGCTGGAGGACTCATTCTTCCCAATTTCAAAACTTACTATAAAGCTACAGTAATCAAAATAGAGTGGAACGGGCATAAAGATAAACACAAAGACCAATGGTACAGAACTGAAAGTATAGAAATGAATGCAAACATCGACATTGAACTGATATGTGGCAAAGGTGCCATGACCATTCATTAGGGAAACAACTTTCTATTCAACAAATGGTGCTGGGATATCTGGATAACTAAATGAAAAGAATAAAGTTTTGGACTCCTGCCTCACTCCATATATTAAAAAAAAAAAACTCCAAATGGATCAATGACCTAAATATAAGAGCTGAAGGTATAACACTATTAGAAGAAAACACAGGAATAAATCTTTCTGACTTCAGATTTGGTAATGGATTCTTAGATTGATATCAAAAACTCAAGCAACAAAAGAAAAAAATAGATCAATTTCATAAAAATGAAAAACATTTGTTCATCTAAGGACATTATCAACAATGTGAAAAGAAAACCTATAGGATGGGAGAAAATATTTGCAAATCATGTATGAGGTAAGGGTTTAATATCCAGAATTGTAAGAACTCTTACAATTTAAAGGCAAACAATCCACTTAAAAAATGGGCAAAGAACTTGAAAGAATACACTAGAAGCTAATAAAATTTATTGCATGTAGGATGGTGGCTCAGGGACAAGGGAAGACAAGTTTTTGTTGTACATCTTTTTATATTTAAAAGATGTTAAACCATGTGAATGTATTATTTATTCAAACCTTAAAACCTGTTTTTAATGTTTTATTTTTTTAATTACCTAGGATATTGCTATGATCAATCAGTTTACTAAGGGACATTTTAATTGTATTTACATATCAATAAAAAGGTTTATACTGATAAGAGAACACATAAAACGAGAAAGAAGAAAAAATAAAAATATTAATCCTTCAATCACGAGACCTTTTTAAAAATATAGATATAAGGAACTAGGGTAAAACATTAAATACATGTAATCCAATATCAAAGGATAAAATGAAATAAAAGTTTTGACCTTTTATGCCCTGGGATTAGTTTCAAAGAAAGGCAAGGTATACTTCATTATTTACCAATTTAGTTTTGAGGGAATACAATTTTGGTATATAATAAATGGTAAATCTTCTGGTAAAACAGAATAAAGTACAAATAATTAAGTAAACAAAGATAAATGATCAATTCTTCATGAAATTATAAGTATATAAATATTTTTAAATATAAAAACCTTAAAATCAGCCAAAAAGTAAACATCATACCACAAATAAAATATATGTGTATATATAAATATGTTTACATATATATTTATATATATATAACTGATTACTGATGATGCAAATTTATAAATACTTCATGCAGTACAATCAGATTTTAGTGGTAGTTTTTTATGATTAAAAAAGGGAAAATTCAAATAAAAAAGCTTAAACTACATCTCATAACAATTAGGTTTCTGTGATATTTTAAAGATTATATTAAGGAAACATAGTAAAAGGGATGCAAACATTAATGCACTGCAATGGATTATGTTACAAGCTGAAAAAGGAAAAGAAGCTCAAACACCATTCTGCCAGGCAGAACTGCAAAACAATCTGAAATTGGACACTGATCCTTCAAGACATAGAAAAATTTCCATACTTATTAATGTCTCAGAGCTATTTTTAAATATTAGGTAAAATAAAACCATCAGCAAGAAAACAGTCATGTTTATCTTTTTTAAATTAAAAATACCTATAGGTATAAAAATTTTTTAAGCTCTACACATACATTTTCTTGAGGATCAGTACAAATTTCTTGTGCTAAACAGATAATTAAGGATAAGCTCTACATGGGTTTTGCCAATGCATTGTGTACCTATCATACTGTAGGTCCCGTGAATTATGATTAAAACCGGTGGTAAATATTAAGAGGATAACAAAAGAAACTTTTATGACACATTCTAAAATATTCTTAACCCATTAAAAGAAAATTTCTGAACTGAAAATTGATTTCATAAATTGAATAATTCAAATAATTAAGCTTGTTTGCAAATAAATAATTCACTGTCATTTAAATGAGATTACAGATAACTTTTTATTAATCTTTTATTGGCTAAATATAACTCTAAAAATAACTTTCTACAGTATTTATGGCTTATAACATAGGCAATGTGTACTAAAATAAATTTGCTACTCTGTTTTGGACATTTAAAGCATCTGTCAATAACGGGTGAGCTACAAGAAAAACAAAAAAGGTACTTTCAAAAGTTATTGTAGACAATATTATAACTATCCTATCATCCTAAGACAAGTGTAATTACTGCCAAACAAATACAATAAAACTAACATTAATAATAGGTAACTATGTTTAAGAAAAGTTACATTATTAGTCCCTGTGAATGTTCAATACAAAGCATGTCTATTTCTGAAGACAAATCACGCATATCATATCAAGAGCAGAGATAAAATAAACTAGTTAAGTGGTAATGTAAAAAACAGACAGTGTTCATGGCACATAAATGGACCTACAGTAATAGTTAGTGCTGCAAAAGCTAATGATGCTTTAAGCAAAATTGGAAAACATGAATACCATGCAGTTTTACTGAACTCACCTGACAGAGGTGTAAAACCATTCTCTAGGAGCAGAGATGCATGCACAAAAGTAAGAATATGATTGCAAGTAATAGACTTTAACAAAATAAAAATATAACACTAAACTTCAAAATGACAAAAAATGGACACATGATGAGATCTGGGGAATGAAAATACTTTTATGTGTCTCACCTCTCTCTTTGCCAACAGCACATTAGGAACAATGTGTGGCAGGCAGCGCCCCAGCATTAACATAACACTTTTCTCACTGTCTGCAATCCGAGACACCTAGAAAACCAAAGAATTAATAAATGATGACACTGGAGAACTTCTGTGCATGATGGTATTGAACTTAAAGTTTATGTTTTGGACCCTGTCACCTCTGTTCCAAACACACATCCAAAATTACAATTTATGATGATGATGATAAAAACAACAATAAGAACAACTGTAACCCCTAACGGGATAAACATTTTTATAGACCAGAAATGGATTTAAAACACTGTTAAGAAGCAAGGGTGAAGACAGGGAGGCTTACAAGGCTTCAGTTCTGGGAACAAACAGGGATAACACAGGACTGGGGCAGCTTCAATGGTTTTTAATTTTGTTCTTGGGGAAAAGGTGCCCACAAAGCTACAGGCTTTGCCTAAGGTGAGAGTAGTTTGTATAATGAAGCTGCATGCAAGGGAAGTCCAAGGGGGCTGACCCAGTCTTACAATGGGGATTGCCAGATTGCATCCAAACCATCCTCTAGCTCTTTCATATTCTTAATGACATTGTGGGACAGAAGCCCAAAATAGGTGAAGTGGAATCAACCATAAAACAGCTAGAAAGGGAGGAGTGAGTATAAAGAGGAGAAAAAAAGAAAAAAACCCTCTGAAGATAAGCCTGCAACAATTACAAAGGACTTGAGGAAAACAAATCTGAGAGCTAATAAACTCTGAAATCAAAGACAATCAATCCGAACCTAGGGGGAGGACAGAAATAAAGACACAGACGTAGAGAATGGACTTGAGGACACAGGGAGGGGGAAGGGTAAGCTGGGACGAAGTGGGAGAGTGGCACGGACATATATACACTATCAAATGTAAAATAGATAGCTAGTGGGAAGCAGCTGCATAGCACAGGGAGATCAGCTCCGTGCTTTGTGACCACCTAGAGGGGTGGGATAGGGAGGGTGGGAGGGAGACGCAAGAGGGAGGAGATATGGGGATATATATGTATAGCTGATTCACTTTGTTATAAAGCAGAAACTAACACACCATTGTAAAGCAATTATACTCCAATAAAGATGTTAAAAAAAAAAAGAAAATTACAGACCACCAAAAAAAAAAAAAAAAAAATCCAGATGCCCAGCTTCCCTTGAAAAAGACTGTTATCAGCTATGCCTTGCACAGAGAATCAGCCTAAATGGCAAGTGGGGCTGATATCCAACAGGCACTCATCTGCCACGCCTGGTATTTATCCACCAAAAGTAAGGAGTATCATTTTAATTTGCACAAAGGTGATATATAGTCTAGCAATGGCACTATCCTTGGGCCCTCACACACACACAGAAGCAATCACCTGGAAGATTTAGGCAAAGGATGTAAGTTCGAATTTACTACAGTACCCACCACTCCTTATTATTACCCTCTTGCTTCATCATATTATGAGACCTGCCTGGTTTCTTTGTAGACATTTGAGTTTACAGCTTTTGGTCAGCATCAAAAGGAAATAATACTTTTGATTTATTCAACTAAATAACCTAAGTTTAGATTCACTTTGCAGAGGTAGGTTGTTCAGCTCCTGATACCAATGCAAATACTTAGCAATTAGGCTTTACAATCATATAGACCTGGGTAGCTGTCTAACACTGGGAAAGTTATGGGACTTGTCTAAAATTTCCTTATCTGGAAAATTAGACTAATATTACCTACTTTGTAAGTTTGCAAATTAAAATGCAGATTAAATGAGATGACATGTAACATAATGCTTAGTGTGTTTTAGGTATTTTTTAATGTAATTTCATGTTAACTGCTGAAATAATACCCTCACCCTGACCCTGAAGCAGGACCTTATCAGTTATTTCTGGAATCACAAATATTTGTTCAAACTTATTAGACTATAAAGCATAAAGCATGAAGGTGGGGGGGAGAAAAGACAATCCAAATGAAATTAAAAGTAGAGTAATCTAAAAATAACTGAAATTATAAACAATATGTACACTTGATTTGGTTTTCTGAATTATACCATAGAGAGGCATATAACCATATGTCGGTAGACATAACAAATTAAAACTAGACTGTAAAAGGCCACTTTAATACTAAACAAAGCTTTAACCTAAAGACAAAAATAATCAACTACTTTCCTTAAAAGTTTAAAATTTTAGGAACTATTTCTTAAAGCATTATTTTAAATACTAGATTTGTACTTGAAATAGAGTCTTATCACAATTATTTTTGGTTAAGGTGCTAAAAAGAAAAACTGAATGTTTTAAGAAAGTTTGAAAGAATCTGGTATAATTTACCTCTGATCCTAAACGACTATCTGCTGACATTCGACAGAAAGAGAGTAGTGCTTGATGGAAAGCAGGAGACAACTTCCTAGAAGAAAATATTGAATGAAAATTGGACAATACCAAATAGTTACCACTGGCATTTAAGGAGAAAATAAGTTGCAGGTTATAATTCCCATCCTTGCATGAACCCTAACCCACAAATGTTAACTGAATATCTCAGCCACAAAAGACTTAAAGGTCACTTCAGTGGAAAATTATACTGGGGAAAAGAAATCAGCAATAGATGCTGATCTTAAAAGAGCTTGATGTTATGGGAATGAATGACTTATAAATGTTAGTGGATTAAACCTGAAGTGGTATGGCAGGTCAATGACAACAGAAAGTGTTTGTAAAACCTGAAATGAGGATTTTTTTTTCTTCCCTAATTCTCTATGATCCCAGAAAGGTAAACAGTGGAGACAAAGGTTGACCTGGTATGTTGCTGAGAAGTTCTACAGACCTATATAATGATAATGATAATCCTTAATGTTAGAAACCCACGTAAAAGAATTAAAAATTAAAGATAAATGAAGGAGAGGCTTGTTCAACATTCATGGTATATCTCAAAGGAAGTATTTTTGTAATTGAAAATATTAGCCTATTTATGTTTAATAAAAAAGGTTAAAACATTTATATTTTTAAAACAACACTGGTCTCTACATAATAGTATTCATAATACTGTAACTATGAGTTGTACTTTATATGCTCTATCTACAAAGAAAAGGGCTAACACCAAAATTACATAATAGAGGTTATTTAGTATACACCACAAAGTGGCCCCCAGTAACATCTCATTGTGGAGTTACTGTGCCAAAGCTTAAGCCTATTTGCTTGTTATGTTTCCCCTCCCATATTCTTTCAGTGGAGAGAGCTATAATGCATCCAATTGCCTATGCCAGAAAGCCTTTATCCTTCCCTTTCTTTTAATCTCCTAATCCAATCAATCTTTTACTTTCTAACTATCTTGTAAATCTATCCCCTTCTTTCTAATACAGGAAATTCAATCATTTCTTACTTGGATTCTCCCAATAGATATCCTACTAGTCTCCTTTCTTCCAGTCTTGCTACCCTCCAATTACCTCTACCCTAGAGGACTCTTTCTAAAACTTAGATGCCATCATGTCCCAACTCTCTAAAATGAGTTAACACGGCTTATATGACTTAGTCTTTGCTTAATTCTCCAACTTCATCTGTCATTCTTCTCACTTGCATTCTTTGCTTCAACCTTAATAAATTCTTCTTAGCTCGCAAAGTGCACAGTGTTCTCCCTGCACATGCTGTTCTCTCTTAGTGGGAAGACTTCATCTTATTTCTTTGTCTGGTTAACTACTACTTAGTCATCAGGTCTAAAGTTAGATAATACTTCTTCCCTGAAATCTTTCCTGCTCTGATGCCTAGGTTAGGTGCCCTGATTGTGTGTTCCCAAAGCAAGGTGAACTTCTCTTAGATTACTACTCTTCGTACTTATAATAATTATCTGTCGGCCTCTCTCATACTGTAAGGTTTGTAACTGAAGGGATGACCATATGTTTGGTTAACCATTATACTCCTCGTTAAGACTGCCTGACATATAGTTAAGAGCTAAAAAAATTAATTGAAGAAATTTAACAGTCATCTTTCTCCAGAGAGTGGCTTTGGTGTATCAAAGGAGATATATGGAAGTACTCCTAAACAGTAAGAACTATTACGAATGCCACTGTTATTGAATATCATTTTTATAACTGTATCTTAACCATATTTAATTAAATGCACTTTGAGGATTGGGCTGTGTCTATTTCAACCCCCATAATACCTAAAAATACACACACACACACACTTAAGCAGGTACACAGAAAGTTGTGGCACATGAGTGGAAAGATTTGCTTGGGAAAAAGAAAAATCAAATACTTCTCACTAATAATGAGTACCTTTAAGTCTAAAACAAATTAGTCATGCTTTCCTATTACATCCCAACACTTGGTATAATATTCCTCCATTTAATAGGAGGAGGAGGAAGCACGGCTTTGTGGCTCAGAATGCACCATAGGGTAATTTGTGAGGATTAACTAAGTTAGTATATGTAAAGCGTGTAGAACTGTGCCTGACATATAAAAAAGAACTCAGTAAATGTTCCTTTCTTAACATTTTTCACATTAAAATGTAAAATAATTTTAAACACATTTTGTCTCCTCTACTAGAAAACATAATCATGACGGGCAAGGGACCATGCTTTTGTCATCTGAGTTCAATCACTGCAATCCAATAAAAACTAAGTGAATTAAGAGAATATTAATGATACAATATTAGTAATGGAAGCAGACACAGGAAAAAGGCCTAAGATTAATAGCTAATCCCCTCTTTAGTACAGGCAACTATTCAGTACCAAAACCTTCTACTGAGTCTGATAATGACTGTAGAATACAGAAAAGGTAAAAAGCACTGGGTAAAATACAGCACATAAAACATACATATTACTTATGGGTTTAAGTACTTGGCTAAGATAGGACCTATCTCCTTTATGGTCTATTCCTTGTTAATACAATTTAACTTAGTAATTACTTGTGATTTTTTTTTTTTTTTTTTTTTGGTGACATGGACTTTGCTATGTGTTAAGTTCATGCCAAACATAAAAATTCATACATCTGATCTGCAAAATAAGAACTGAAACTCTTCTATTTTGACAATGTTCTAAATAGCTGAAAGATGCATTTCAAAACACAGGATGCATACTAACCTATTGGGTTTATCAAAATGGACTGTGCTTTTATTTGATGGAGAAGAAGATGGCATTCCTTCTCTTTCTCTCCTGGGGAAAGAACGTGGGAAATTCTCTTTAGGAATAGTGGAATCAATTTCATCTGATTTTGAAAGATGGATATCCTTGTTTTCTCCCATGTCTGAACTATTTATAACTGAATTCTGTCCACTGTCTTCAGAGTCCTTGTGGGGAGACTGATCCAAAGAAGGCTGAACAGAGTCACAAACTACAGGGCTGGCAAAGTGTTCATTTTTGAGGAAGTCCATTTCACTGTAGAAAGGAAGAGAAATTATCAGAGAATAACTGTATTTTTTAAAACTTTGGCAATAGCATAAACCTCATAATGGGTTTAATGGTTTAAAAGTATAACATGTTAATAGAAAGTGGTTTGGCAACTGATTAATCTCTTCTGCACCATATACACTGATGCTTCACATACCTAGAAGTGCAGCTACAAACACTTATAAAGCATAAAAATGGTTTTATAAACTATGCTTTGGATTAGCACTTAACATTCTTCATTTGCAAAATGGGGAAAATTCTACAGAATTAAGAATTAAATGAAATAATGAATGGGAAATATGTACAACACTAATGTGAAAAGCTATTTTATTACTACTGATACAACTTGGAGAAAATAAAAAATATCTTATTTCTTGGTTCCAAGACATATGCAATTACATGATTATTACGGGGACAACTTTTTTGGGGAAAAAGGACACTTTAAGTATATAAGCAACTATAAGACTTTTTTCCAGAAGTATTAGGATATGAAAAATTATGTCTTACAACTGAAATGTTATTTTATATATTTATATAATCTGTCAATTTCTTTAAAAACTTTAAGAGGTTTTTTAGAAATAATGATTAAGTACTAACCTTTCAAGTCTTCTGATTTGTTCCATCAAACACCATTTCTCACTATTTAATAAACTAATTTTATCTTCTAATTTCTTTACTAGCAAGGAGTTCTAAAATCAAAATGGGAGAAAAACAGAAACTCAAGATCTCATAGTATGCTTTTATGCAGTTTAAACACTTTTTGTGGACTGGATTACTTAGTTAATACCTCTCACCTCTACAGCAGCAGGAGTTTCAAGCGTTGGAGGAAGGCTGCCTAAAATTGGTGTCAGAGCCTCTAATTCATCTTCTTCTACACCACTGGCCACATCCACAAGATCTTTCCCAGTCACTTGATGATTTCCAAAATCTCGGTAGAGTTGCAATAAGTCTGGAGGTTTTGGAATGTTTAATCCTACATCATCCCATAGTTCAAAATCCTAAAAGATAAAAAAATAATAATATAAAAAAAATCTATGTGGCAGTTTTATCTTGCATTTTTGAAATTTATCTTTTTTTTAACATCTTTATTGGAGTATAATCGCTTTAAAATGGTGTGTCAGTTTCTGCTTTATAACAAAGTGAATCAGTTATACCTGATATGTCCCCATATCTCTTCCCTCTTGCGTCTCCCTCCCTCCCACCCTCCCTATCCCACCCCTCTAGGTGGTCACAAAGCACCGAGCTGATCTCCCTGTGCTATGCAGCTGCTTCACACTAGCTATCTATTTTACATTTGGTAGTGTATATATGTCCATGCCACTCTCTTTGTCCCAGCTTACCCGACCCCCTCCGCGGATCCTCAAGTCCATGCTCTAGTAGGTGTGCGTCTTTATTCCTGCCTTGTCCTCGGATTCTTCATGACAATTTTTTTTTTTTTAAGATTCCATATATATGTGTTAGCATATGGTATTTGTTTTTCTCTTTCTGACTTACCTCACTCTGTATGACAGGCTCTAGGTCCATCCACCTCACTACAACTAACTCAGTTTTGTTTCTTCTTATGGCTGAATAATATTCCACTGTATATATGTGCCACATTTTCTTTATCAATTCATCTGTTGATGGACACTTAGGTTGCCTCCATGTCCTGGCTATTGTAAATAGAGCTGCAATGAACACTGTGGTACATGACTCTTTTTGAATTATGGTTTTCTCAGGGTATATGCCCAGTAGTGGGATTGCTGGGTTGTATGGTAGTTCTATTTTTAGTTTCTTAAGGAACCTCCATACTGTTCTCCATAGTGGCTGTAGTAATTTACATTCCCACCAACAGTGCAAGAGGGTGCGCTTTTCTCCACACCCTCTCCAGCATTTATTGTTTGTAGATTTTTTGATGATGGCCATTCTGACTGGTGTGAGATGATATCTCATTGTAGTTTTGATTTGCATTTCTCTAATGACTAATAATGTTGAGCATTCTTTCATGTGTTTGTTGGCAATCTGTATATTTTCTTTGGAGAAATGTCTATTTAGGTCTTCTGCACATTTTTGGATTGGGTTGTTTTTTTAATATTGAGCTCCATGAGCTGTTTATATTATTTGGAAATTAATCCTTTGTCCATTGATCCGTTTGCAAATATTTTCTCCCTTTCTAAGGGTTGTCTTTTCGTCTTGTTTGTAGTTTCCTTTGCTGTGCAAAAGCTTTGAAGTTTCATTAGGTCCCATTTGTTTATTTTTGTTTTTATTTCCATTACTCTAGGAGGTGGATCAAAAAAGATCTTGCTGTGATTTATATCAAAGACTGTTCTTCCTATGTTTTCCTCTAAGAGTTTTGTAGTGTCCGGTCTTACGTTAAGGTCTCTAATCCATTTTGAATTTATTTTTGTGTATGGTGTTCGGGAATGTTCTAATTTCATTCTTTTACATGTAGCTGTCCAGGTTTCCCAGCACCACTAATTGAAGAGACTATCTTTTCTCCATTGTATACCCTTGCCTCCTTTGTCATAGATTAGTTGACCATAGATGTGTGAGTTTATCTCTAGGCTTTCTATCCTGTTCCATTGATCTATATTTCTGTTTCTGTGGCAGTACCATATTGTCTTGATTACTGTAGCTTTGTAGTATAGTGTGAAGTCAGAGAGCCTGATTCCTCCCGCTCCGTATTCTTCCCTAAAGACCGCTTTGGCTATTCGGGGTCTTTTGTGTCGCCAAACAAATTTTAAGATTTTTTGTTCTAGTTCCGTAAAAAATGCCATTGGTAATTTGATAGGGATTCCATTGAATTTGTAGATTGCTTTGGGTAGTAGAGTCGTTTTCACAATATTGATTCTTCCAATCCAAGAAGATGGTATATCTCTCCATCTGGGTGTATCACCTTTCATTTCTTTCATCAGTGTCTTATAATTTTCTGCATACAGATCTTCTGTCTCCTTAGGTAGGTTTATTCCTAGATGTTTTATTCTTTTTGTTGCAATGGTAAAATGGGAGTGTTTTCTTAATTTCACTTTCACATTTTTCATCATTAGTGTATAGGAATGCAAGAGATTTCTGTGCATTAATTTTGTATCCTGCTACTTTACCAAATTCATTGATTAGCTCTAGTAGTTTTCTGGTAGCATCTTTAGGATTCTCTATGTATAGTATCATGTCATCTGCAAACAGTGACAGCTTTACTTCTTCTTTTCCAATTTGGATTCCATTTATTTCTTTTTCTTCTCTGATTGCTGTGGCTAAAAGTTCCAAAACTATGTTGAATAATAGTGGTGAGAGTGGGCATCCTTGTCTTGTTCCTGATCTTAATGGAAAGGGTTTCAATTTTGCACCATTGAGGATGATGTTGGTTGTGTATTTGTCATATATGGCCTTTATTATGTTGAAGTAAGTTCTCTCTATGCCTACTTTCTGGAGGGTTTTTATCATACATGGGTGTTGAATTTTATCGAAAGCTTTCTCTGCATCTATTGAGATGATCATATGGTTTTTCTCCTTCAATTTGTTAATATGGCATATCACACTGATTAATTTGCGTATACTGAACAATCCTTGCATTCCTGGGATAAACCCCACTTGATCATGGTGTATGATCCTTTTAATGTGCTGCTGGATTCTGTTTGCTAGTATTTTGTTGAGGATTTTTGCATCTATGTTCATCAGTGATATTGGCCTGTAGTTTTCTTTCTTTGAGACATCTTCGCGTGGTTTTGGTATCACGGTGATGGTGACCTCGTAGAATGAGTTTGGGAGTGTACCTCCCTCTGCTCTATTTTGGAAGAGTTTGAGAAGAATAGGTGTTAGCTCTTCTCTAAATGTTTGATAGAATTCGCCTTTGAAGCCATCTGGTTCCGGGCTTTTGTTTGTTGGAAGATTTTTAATCACAGTTTCAATTTCAGTGCTTCTGATTGGTCTGTTCATATTTTCTATTTCTCCTGGTTCAGTCTCAGCACATTGTGCATTTCTAAATATTTGTCCTTTTCTTCCAGGTTGTTCATTTGATTGACATATAGTTGCTTGTAGTAATCTCTCATGATCCTTTGTGTTTCTGCAGTCAGTTGTTCCTTCTCCTTTTTTATTTCTAATTCTATTGATTTGAGCCTTCTCCCTTTTTTTCTTGATGAGTCTGGCTAATGGCTTATGAATTTTGTTTATCTTCTCAAAGAACCAGCTTTTAGTTTTATCGATCTTTCCTATGGTTTCCTTCATTTCTTTTTCATTTATTTCTGATCTGATCTTTATGATTTCTTTCCTTCTGCTAACTTTGTGGGTTTTTTGTTCTTCTTTGTCTAATTGCTTTAGGTGTAAGGTAATGTTGTTTACTTGGGTTGTTTCTTGTTTCTTGAGGTACGATTGCATTGCTATAAACATCCCTCTTAAAACTGCTTTTGCTGCATCCCAAAGGTTTTGGGTCACTGTGTTTTCATTGTCATTTGTTTCTAGGTATTTTTTGATTTCCTCTTTAATTTCTTCAGTGATCTCTTGGTTATTAAGTAGTGTATTGTTTAGCCTCCATGTGTTTGCATTTTTACAGATTTTTTCCTGTAATTGATACCTAGTCTCATAGCGTTGTGGTCGGAAAAGATACTTGATACAATTTCAATTTCCTTAAATTTACCAAGGCTTGATTTGTGACCCAAGATATGATCTATCCTGGAGAATGTTCCATGAGCACATAAAAAGAATGTGTATTCTGTTGCTTTTGGATGGAATGTCCTATAAATATCAATTAAGTCCATCTTGTTTAATGTATCATTTAAAGCTTGTATTTCCTTATTTATTTTCATTTTGGATGATCTGTCCATTGGTGAAAGTGGGGTGTTAAAGTCCCCTACTATGATTGTGTTACAGTCGATTTCCCCTTTTACGGCTGTTAGTATTTGCCTTATGAATTGCGCTGCTCCTGTGCTGGGTGCATAAATATTTACAGTTGTTATATCTTCTTCTTGGATTGATCCCTTGATCATTATGTACTGTCCTTCTTTGTCTCTTGTAACAGTCTTTGTTTTAAAGTTTATTTTGTCTGGTATGAGAATTGCTTCTCCAGCTTTCTTTCGATTTCCATTAGCATGAAATATCTTTTCCCATCCCCTCACTTTCAGTCTGTATGTGTCCCTAGGTCTGAAGTGGGTCTCTTGTAGACAGCATATATATGGATCTTGTTTTTTATGCATTCAGCCAGTCTATGTCTTTTGGCTGGAGCATTTAAACCATTCATATTTAAGGTATTCATTGGTATGTATGTTCCTATTACCATTTTCGTAATTGTTTTGGGTTTGTTATTGTAGGTCTTTTCCTTTTCTTGTGTTTCCTGCCTAGAGAAGTTCCTTTAGTATTTGTTGTAAATCTGGTTTGGTGGTGCTGAATTCTCTTAGCGTATGCTTGTCTGTAAAGCTTTTAATTTCTCCGTCAAATCTGAATGAGATCCTTGCTGGGTAGAGTAATGTTGGTTGTAGGTTTTTCTCCTTCATCACTTTAAATATGTCCTGCCACTCCCTTCTGGCTTGCAGAGTTTCTGCTGAAAGATCAGCTGTTAACCTTATGGGGATTCCCTTGTGTGTTATTTTTGCCTTGCTGCTTTTAATATTTTACCTTTGTATTTAATTTTAATTTTTTTTTTTTTTTTTTTTTGTGGCATGCGGGCCTCTCACTGCTGTGACCTCTCCCATTGCAGAGCACAGGCTCCAGACGCACAGGCTCAGCGGCCATGGCTCATGGGCCCAGCCCCTCCGCGGCATGAGGGATCCTCTCAGACCGGGGCACGAACCCATGTCCCCTGCATCGGCAGGCGGACTCTCAACCACTGCGCCACCAGAGAAGCCCTGATAGTTTGATTAATATGTGTCTTGGCATGGTTCTCCTTGGGTTTATCCTGTATGGGACTCTCTGTGCTTCCTGGACTTGACTATTTCCTTTCCCATATTAGGGAAGTTTTCAACCATAATCTCTTCAAATATTTTCTCAGTCCCTTTCTTTCTCTCTTCTTCTTCTGGGACCCCTAAAATTT